TCAATGGTATTGAATTGCCGTTATTTACTCTAGACGAACTTGAGGTGGAAAGACCAAAGTCATTTTTATGTGTGGGGATCTGATAGTTCTGTCGTAAATTCTGAAATGAAGCGACAAGGATCGTTAGTGCTTTTTATTGCTAAGCAACATCTGGAAAAGTGTTGAGGAGCAGTTGGAGTAATCAGATGAGATTCAGTGCTAACGACATCACTGTCGGCTGGGTTTGGTAATTGTAAAAGGCACATGGCCAAATGTATACGTGCAGCTGTCGCATGGAATTAATGGCACTATGCCTATTCATCTCATCCAGACGGTTTAATTGCTACCTATATAACTTGGCAACAGGGAGCTAGAGGGCTGCGCAAAACAGATATTGGGAGTGGGAACGGGGAAGAAGTAACGATGAAAGCACCAGAATAGAAGTTCGATCGGGCTGGCCTAAATAACAGCCCTGTAAAATTCAAGAGTATTCAATGGCATAGTTCTAGTATTCCTTGACCGAATTGAAATTTAATAATTTAGTACTGGCAGTTTCTATTGTCGGAGGTTTCAGGTAACGAAATGTAGCTAGCGTACTCAACACTAATACTTTGTGCCTAAATAGTTGTACAGAAAGTATAACTGTCGACGAAAGCAAGAACCGTGACATGAGTTTCTAGTGAACGATGAAGCGGTTAACTGTAGCTCCAGTTAGTTTAGAATCAAGAGAATGTGAAATTTTTAGAGTATTGATTTTTCGTTATTTATTTTTTATGATTTCTTATTAGAAAAATGTTTAGATTCCAAATGTTTTACTCACAAGTTAAACTTTAATTTTCAATCCTTGTCTTATTTTTTGTTTGAACAACGTGAAAAATAAAATGTAATGCGAACGGTATCCGGTGGAGTTGCAATATTTCCATTTCTTTTTCAGAAGCATGCTGCGAATAATCAATCGGTTCATGCATCCGGTTCTTATGTTAATCGGACGGTTCCATTTCTTCTGGACCGGTCTTCTTTTCGAATTTATTCATCTGTTCACGTCAAGAATTTACGTCACTAAACCAACGGATAGTTTGCTGATGATCAGTGCCACACAGGCTGTGCAGAAGATTATCAATAGGGAGGTAAGTGTTCGGTTAATGTTTGATCTCAGTATTTGGTAGTCTTGGTAGTTTCTATAATGATTTATCCTTCAGATAACGTCACTAGAACTTGTGGAGGCTTATATCCATAGGATAGAGCAGGTCAGTTTATCAGTTTTCTATTCAAACAGGAGCAGTTGGGGAAGGGGTTCACTCACTTGCACTCATTTTGCGCTTTCCGTCACCTTTCTTTTGCTGGCCGTTATCTGATTTTTTTTATTAAAGATGCTTAAATTGAGAGCTGATTGGATTATTCAACAGTTTCCTTTGAGAGTGATTTTTAACGAAGGTTTCATGGGTCGTGACCTCACCTTTGATTGATCATTTACAACCTATCCCTCTTCTTA